AATATAATAGAGGAAGAGGATGAGTTTTGCCATTACAAGAACACCACTTTCTTCACAATGATTTTACAAATAGCATTTTCTTTTAAAATATGAGGTAAAGGAAGGGGAATTAGCTCCATATTTTTTACTGCATCATATGTCATGACGGGTTAGACGGAGAGGTTTCGTTTCGGCATTTGAATGAATGAGCCTAAGTCCACTTCAAGCATCCACGAAAGTCTGCGGCGATTATGAGTGGATTATTTTAGATAAAATTGTGCAGAGGCTGGCCGAAAGACTAGTATTATAAAAAAAATACAACGGTAGAGTTCTCCACGGGGGATTTGATAACCCCCTCTTCAACCGATGCAACTCTATTTTTGCTACTCATAAAGTTTCAGTAGATAAATTTTCAAAATTCACTGGATTTTATTAAAGTTTATGACTAAGATGTTGTGGAGGGGCAAGAAACCCGCATTTATTCTTGAACTTCCCTACAGTTACAAAGGAAGGTTGAATGATGCCCATTTCTTTCCAAGCTGTTGTGGACGTCTTGTTGGGAGAGCCTAGTCAAATTCTGAGCTTATTTTTAGGCATTTAAAAGGCATTAATTTGTAAAAAGGAAAGAGGATAACCGTATTTTCAACCTTGAAAATGAATATTTTCAGAGATTTAAAGGTATAGTGTGTATTACGATGCAAAAATTGCACTTTATTGTGCCATTAGGGCTGATCATATTCCCTTCCATACGTTACAGCCGCGATGGACAGCATTTCCAGGTTCGAAATCTCAGAAACTTATGACCATCTCCTAATAAGACGACAAAGTTGCTTTTAGCAAGGCCTATCCAACTTTTAATATTTAATGCAAAGTTTTGACTGATGGCGAATCCAAACCAGTGTTCCCATCTTGCGTATCCTAGTGACGGACAGCACCAGATCCCATGAGTGTCAGGGTGTTCATATTTGTAAGAAAAGGCACGCCCAATTTAAGTTTATTTCCGTACAACGCTCTTTGGCTTCTGAAGCCTTGTTTCTTCAATGCATTCGTATTAAAGATGAGCATCACTGGTGTCACCATGCCAAAATGGAGAGGTGATGAAATCGAACCTTGGCTATGCGAGCATTAATGACAGCACCTCCGCTCGATCGATAAAGGAAGATTAAAACATTTTTCATTCTCTATTCCCGCTTCGTCATAGGTCATTAGGCCATACATACACATACACACACACACACACACACCAAACCTTGGTCTGACTGTCTATGTACAGAAATCCTTGGCGCAAGGCAAACACATCGAGTAGGTTGCTTCAAGGTGTTTGGGAAAGTAGGCGAGAGAATATGCATATATAACTGTAAGGAGTGAAAGGAAACCAGAAGGTGGAAAGTGAAATCAACAGATCATAGGGTCTAGGAGAGGGTGGAGGAGGGCGTTTGTGTAGTCATTTGGTTGATGGGGAGTGGCTCGTAAAGATTCAAGTACTCCAGTGCAGTAGCATAGCAGAAGGCATATTCTGTGGAGGTCTCGACTAGACCGCGTCGTTGCCACCAGAGTAGTTTCGTCGTCTGAAAAGCATCGACGACGCCTTCGACACGCATTCGATCGAAGAGGATGGAAAGCATCAGAAAGATGCCCGTATAGCCAGTCCCAGTTCTGCCAATAAAACTCACACATTACTCACATGGCCAATTACGGAGAAGAAATTAATAAAATTCAAAGTCAACATCACAAATGGTCCCGTGTGCAGGGCGTCAAAAGTTTTCCATGGATCAACAAGTGATAAGTGGAAAATTTCGTTTTGGAGCCGCAGCGATTTAAGGACATCACAATAGTCACATTGTCACTCGATTGTCAGCTCGTAAA